ATCCGTGCCCCCCACAGGTGGTAGAAACCTACCTTCGAGATATTTTCCAGGCGAATGCCGACGCCCTCGGAGGGGGGGACGAGGGGGGGGACGCTTCTCTTCACCCCCTGAAGCCGGAAAGCCTCGTCAGAAAAGCGATATCGACGAAGGACAGGACCGTGTTTCACCCCGCGCCCATGGAGGATGGTACCTCTGAAGTTGCGGACGCTAAGATTTGGGCCAGGGTGCAGGCCACGGTGAGGGATGTAATTGGAGGGTTTGGGGTGAGGGAGTGTGATTGGCGATTTTGGATTGGTTTGGGTTGTCGCAGGCATAACATGGGCACTTTTGACCGCTCTGGAAAGGTCCTCTGCTATTGTTTTGAGCTGCTGCTATTCCCGCTGTTGCTGTCGTTGTTGCTGTTGCTGCTGCTGCTGTTCAACTTCTGCTGCGACGACTATCTGCAGTCCCGTTGGTGTCCACGAACGGGCACATTTGCGCGCCCGAATGGTGACCCTAACATGCACAACCTGCCCTCCGCTAACGTTGACGCTGACATGTACCTCCCTCTTTCGCGCACCCGTGTCTCGGTCTTTGTGTGTCCGTCTACCCCTCACCGTTCGCCTACCCCTGCTCCATCGTCGCAGGTCACGGTTCCCCCGGGACCCTTGGGCGTCGTCCTTGATGGAGAGGTCGGCGATCGGCCGGTTGTCCTCGAGATACCGGGGGTACGTTGCTGATAGAAGTTTCCCTGCTGTAGTGGCCTACATGCCTGTCCAGTCGGGAGAACACATGTAGGTACTCTGGGAACCCTTCTTTCAGTGGAAACCCTTAATGGATGGGAACGCCTCCACTATCTATTGGAACTCCTCTTGCAGTGGAAACCTCGCACGGGTGGAACTCATGGGAACCCCTATTTCATCGGAAATCCTTGTCAGGGTGGAACACATGTAAACCCCACGTTCATTCGGACCCCTTGCGGGTGGGAACGCATCTACTGTTGGAACTCTTCAATCAGCGGAAAC